TTTTTTTCCTCTATGTGTAGTAAAGCAGGTATAACATAAAAAATCTAAAAACCAAAAATAAAAGGTAGCAAAAGTTCATCGGGGCCGCGACGGTCATAATTTATGGCAAATGTATAGCGTTTACCACCTGTGACGTAAATGAGCATTGTAAAGTTAGGTGTGTCGTGCGGGTCATTTTGACCCCCTCATGACCCCGACAGGTAGATGAGAATTTTTTTAATAAAAATGTTAGTGCGCATTTGACCTCCATCCCACGTGATGAAAAGTGACGATGAGATCGACGATGGAGCATGCACACAACAAATCTGCAGGGCAGGCATTTCCACTCCATAGCCGTTCGCCATATAAAAGTGGAAGCGTAACGCTTCGTGCGAATCTCTGGAATATCCACAACATAGAGGTGGAACCCAAGCCTTTCTTGTAGTCCCCCGCTGATGGAAAGGGGAAGACGGAATTAAATCGTATAATACCATCGCACATCGTGTAATTAGATTTTGACCTACCACGGCGATGAACGTGTTAAGTTACAGTATTGTTAGTTTGGGCAGTTAAGAATAAAGTTTTAAATTTATTTAATGAAAACGAAAACGTATGTTTATATTTTCATTGGAATGTACTACGCGCAAAGTTTTATCGAAAAGTGGGTGAAATTTAATAACCGTATTCATCCCTTAATTTGCCACCCTTATTAGAGATGGAATATTTTCTTTAAAATTTAAATGGGATTACGTATGTATGTAAACACTTTACTAAATAATAAAATAAATAAAGCTGTGAGCCCGGTGAACTTAGCAAGTATCATGTAACCATTTCATTCACGTAATCAATTCAATTTTATTCACTTCATTAATTTATTTTTATTCTGTAACTTGTACTAACAGTAGAATAGATAGTTTGTAAGTGTACCTACTAGCAAACTTGACTGTATATTGTTTGCATTGACTTACAATTATATGGACGTCGGGTCCGCGCTAAAAAGTGTCCGCACTTGTAAGGCGCTAAAATCGTATACAGAGCGCCAAACTCCGCTTTAGTCTTCATTTGTTCGACTGACAGCGCGATACTGCGATGACATTACAATTTAAATTTCGAATAGGTTGACTTGGGACATTTTTTTCGTGGTTTTTGTATTAGACCCGTCGTCCATTTATTTGTAAGTCAATGATTGTTTGCAATAAATGATTTTCATTTTTATTTATTTATTTATTATTAGTATATAAAGTCGAGCTTATCCAATAAAGAAATCTCTTCCAACCTTGGAGATTACTACTGAGGTAGCTCGCTTCTAACAGAAAAAGAATCATCGCAAACCGTTCACAAAGTCGGAGTAATCGCGTAATGTCTAGTTTCAAAAAAAATACAGACGAATTGAGAAAGATTTATTTATTGGTATTTGGCGCCAATAACGTTTAAAATCCTTTAATACTTTGACAACTAAATCTGACAATTTGCTTTTGCAAAAAAATGGAACTCGAGTTTAGGATATGCCTACGCAAAAATGGACGGTAAGCTAAATTGTATCAGTTGGTCTGTAATTTGACATCTACGTTTAGTCTGCATAAAGTAGGCGTTGTCTTTAAAAGTCTACGTATTTTACATGTTCACGAGGAAAGGTTAGTTTAATTACTAAATATTAATTTACTATTGCGGTAAACTTGCAATATAAAAATAAATAATATAAAAATTTATTGATTTAACTTAATCTGTGCTGGTGAACTTCTTCAAAGTTTGAAAATACTGATCATATATGTATGTGTGAGTCACTATTATCCTTCACTCTTGAATATATTGTAAAGGGATTTGGCATGGTGTTTTGTGACCGGCCGACTGCCTGACGTCAACCCTTCTTGGGAATACTCTGTTTAATTGTTGTTTGTTGGGAATAATCAATGTGGCTGTGGGCTTGCACCAAGGATCGGCTTTAAGTCCCTATCTGTTTCTCCTGATTATGGATGCTCTAACATCGGACACACTAGAGGAGGCATCCTGGTGTATGCTGTTCGCCGACGACATTGTACTTGTCGGGTAGGACGCACTTGAGGTCCAGAGCAGGCTGGCAAAATGGCAGGTAAGATTGAAGAGTGTCGGGTTGAGGATTAGCCGGTCAAAAACCGAACAGCTTTTCCTCAACTTTGGCGGTGCCTCCAGTTTTACCAATATTGCCTTAGATGGTGTATCCCTACCAGTCTGCTCCAATTTTCAGTACCTCGGTTCGTTAATACAGAACGACGGCGAGATAGACCGTGACGTTAGAGCAGGATAGGGCAGGATGGATGAAATGGCGACAGGTCACAGGCACTATTTGATGATGAAAGATGGACGGATTGTGTGAAAGATGACATGGATAAGAAAGGTGTGAGTATAAATATGAGGGCTGATAGGGGAGAGTGGAAGAAAAATACATGTTGTATCGACCCTACCAAGCGTGGGATAAGGATTTCATAATTCGTAATAAATTTTGGCGGTAATTGATTATCTTGTGCTATTCGTACTTGCGTTTAATCAGAACCTTGGGCAGTTTCTTAAGTTAATTCTATGTTAAAAGAAAGTACTCGTAATGATGTATTACAAAGTAGGTAAATGATTACAAAAAAAAAACAAGGAAGTTAACAACGTTTCGCAGAACTTTACTAAATTTTAGGGATTTTTGTAATAACGCATGCGTAAAGGTTTGTTCATAATTAACACGAAATTATAAAGGCAGGAACTTGAACGCATTCATCTTCTAGATGTTTTTTGATAAATAATATTTTCAAGCACCAAAAAATACGTCGCAATTTATACCAATTCTGCTGAATTAATAGCTTCGTTTTTTTATGTATTGTTTTTTAATTAAATTATTCATCGTAAAGTTTTCGTAGATTAAGCTTGTAAAAATTTAAAAAAGTATTTACTTTTTCGCACTGGAGCCGACGATACCATTTGATTTAATATAATAATTTACAATTTCATCCACTGTAATTTCATTTCAAATTTAGACTAAGAAACAAAATTGTTAATTCTATTATTAACGGTGGTTTATTCTGTTTCAGATCTAAATTACAGCCACACTATAAAAGGTGAGAATACGTTATAGTACATTAAATATAAGAATTATATTATGTGTTAGCACGCTAACATTCATTCAAAAAAATAAAGAAATTATGTGTACGGGTGAAATAGTATTTAGATGCCGTCAAAGTATCTAAAGTACATTGATACACATAATCTCAGTACAGAGTACTAAAAAATCGACCTCAAAAGTACGTGGAATTATATCTATTTGCCAAGTTTTATTGAAATATCCCCTAGTTCGCCACTATACAGGACTTGACATAGGAGATAATAAAAATCGGTTCTCACTACTCAAAGTATATTGAGAGAGAAAAACGCCTTGAATTGGAGAATAGCAAAACCAACCATTAAAAAAATTGCTCCTTAAATCCATAAATTTTACTATTTAATTCAGGCGTGAATAGCCACCCTAAGAGGTGGATGATTTTCTTCAAAATGAAATGGGACCGCTATGCAAGTACCCCCTTTCCAACAAAAAAAGAATCGTGAAAATCCGTTCACAAATACCGGAGTTATCGCGTAACATACATACATAAAGAAACATACAGTCGAATTGAGAAACCTCCTCCTTTTTTGAAGTCGGTTAAAAATATGTGTCAATGTACTTTAGATAAATATAAATATGAAAATATTGACGTTGGATTCTAATTTAATTGCAATACCTCTAGAATAAAATAAATAAATAATAAATAATTATGCTCGTTTAAGACTTCGATATATTAACATATTCACATTTAAAGTTGTGATTTGGGTTTACGATTCTTGATTACACGATTTGGGATTACATTTTTCACAATACAAGATATTTATTCGCTGAAAAATGTAGTTAACAATGAAGGTGTTATAGTATATTAGGTTGTGTACATTTCACCAAAACCTGTCACGCGAATATTTTCACAGTTCTTATTTTACTTTTGATTTGAACACGTAACATTTGAAGTTAAATTAATACAATAACATAAAAAAAACAACCAGCAACAATTTAAAATTTAATAAAAAAATAGTAATAAACGTAACATACATAAATCCAAATTCACATGTTATATTGTCAAGTAAAAAATCATCAGTATTGTTGTATTGAATGACTAACGAATTACGGAATTTAATTTTAAATTGTCTAGAATTGTTTACAACATCCGACAATTTATTACATAATTTGAATGCTAGGTGCAAACAGCATTCTAATGTAAAATTCCAAATTACGGCGTTGTTTCGGCTGAATTTCTATTTTATTCCTTGTTTTTTTAGAATATCTAGTTTTGATTCAATTAAAATTGCCTAGATATTGTTTAACAAAAACATAAGTCGCATAAATGTACGTCAGTGGTAAGGTTGAGTTTTCTGTATTAAGCACGTAACTTTCTCACTGACCCACTCCAAACACGACCCTAACCCAGCTTTTTGGTTTTTAACCGACTTCAAAAAAGGAGGAGGTTCTCAATTCGACTGTAAAAACATACAGTCGAATTGAGAACCTTTTTTGTATGTATGTTACGCGATAACTCCGGTATTTGTAAACCGATTTTCATGATTCTTTATTTGTTGGAAAGGGGGTACTTCCATAGTGGTCCCATTTCATTTTGAAGAAAATCATCCACCTCTAAGGGCAGCTGTTCACGCATGAAGATTAATTTTTATAAATAGCGCCTAAATTTTACTTAAGGAGCAATTACTTTAATGGTTGATTTTGCTATTTCTCCAATTCAAGGCGTTTTTCTCTCAATATACTTTGAGTAGTGAGAACCGATTTTTATTATCTCCAGTGTCAAGTCCTGTGTGGTGGCGAATTTAAGTATATTTCAATAAAACTTAGCAAATAGACGTAACTCCACGTACTTTTGAGGTCGGTTTTTTTAGGACTCTGTACTGAGATTATTAAATAGTAGCGAAATAAGTGCTGCAGCAGCGTTTATCAAGCAGTACAGAAAACTCAGTTCGTATACGAGTACACTAAATCGTCACTAATTGTCAAATTACAAATAACTCAGTCCATATGTACAAAAATCATCTCATTACAAATAACTCAGTCTATATATATATATACTATCTACAGTTCTAGTGTCTCGTGTGAGATGCGTGTTAACAGTCAATTTGTAAGGCGTCTGCTGCTCCACGTAATGAAATCAACGTCCAATTACTACCTTGTCCATGCCCATTGTGTGGAATTTATTACGTTAAACACGCCTTTTAGACTTTATTTATACATTAACTTCGGCTAACTTAGTTTGGTGACGTCATATTTAAGTGGAGTAATTTTTAAAGGAAAAAATGACATCTGATTTATGCTTCGCACTCACAATGATAAAGTAAGGTAAATGAAAAGTATTTTTCTGTTTGATAAATTGGCAAAATAAATTTAAAAGAAAAACTTCTTTTTCTTTTAAAAATACATGAAGCACTATTGTTGGATATATTTTTTAAATTAATTACGAATAAGGTGAAGGACAACATTTTCCATCATTGTAACACGTTTCTTATTGGTAAGTGTCACTTACTGTTTTTTTTTATAATATCAAGTGACGGGACGAACGAGTCGTGTGTACCTGATGGTAAACTACACGCCTGTCCACAACAGTTGCAGTGCCACTCATAGCTTTAAATCGCAAAAATCTGAGGGGCACTGCCACTGCGCCCGTCACCCTGAGACGTATGTTGACAAGTCCCATGTGCCTGTAATTTCTCCAGTACCCTTTAAAACTGGGACACATGCCACCGACATTACTGCTTGGCGGCAGAAATAGGTAAAGTGGCAGTACTTCTCTGGACGAACTCTTTCTCAACGAGTTCTACTGGGTGTTTATTACTGGAGATTTAGAGAAATTCTAGTTTAGGATTTTTTTTAGTAATAGTTCTAACTTTTTTTATGAAACATACTACAGCATAATCTTTCTTGAGGATTATATCTGTCAAGTAAACTAATAACTGTTGATATATATTTAAAAATAAAAAAATATTTAACTGCCTCGGTGGCCGAACGGTTACCATGCCGGACTGCCACGCAGAGATTCCAGGTTCGATTCCCGGGCCGGGAGAAATATTGAGATGACGATATAAGATTTCTTAGTGAGTTTGGCTGTAATTTGTGGTTGTCTATGTGTGTGTCCATGGCACCAGCGACACTGGCGTGTAGCTTACTATCAGGAGCACGAATTGTTGGTCCCGTCACTTGACATTACAAAAAAAATAATAAAATATTTTTTTAATCACTGAGCAGTCACTATTAATGACTCGTGAGACGATCCACGCAATGCAACGCGAGTGCACCGTGAGGTTATGCAATGTGTGCGTCCGTACACGGCGCGCGACAGGCATGCACACATACAAGCCGCGCTGCTACATTTTTATGAAGTTACCACACTTGTCTTACTTATACTATGGTATTATAGACTCTATGTGTATTACTTCTTTGAAGTTAACGTAAATATACTCTGCTTCTTCCAATATCTGGTAATGGCACTTGTCTACTATGAGATTACATAAAATACATCTTTCTGTTGAGGATTTCTTTCAGATGACGTCATGTCACGTAATAGAGGTTTCCTCAAGTTTGTTTGCAATGTAAACAGTCTTAATACTTATGAAGATCACTCTTTTTCTTTGCTCTGCTTATACACTTATACACATTAAATAAATCTAAGTATTTATTTTATGAAAGTATTTTAAAAATCGGATTTGGTTAAATATTCTGACCAGTATTTGAACATAGTACGTAACAGAGAACATATCGCACGCGAAATCAATTATTGTCGTAACTCAAAATTGTCGGATTGTGAAAACACGATTTGAAAATTAAAAGAAAACAGAATGAAATCAATGCGTATCGCACTGTTAATATAAAATAGTGTATAAAGTCAAAAAGTGATTTTTTTCAGTATCGATGAAAAACTAATTACTCACTTCCCTTGAAAGATCATTAATACTTACGTATAGGTTAACCTACAATAAACTTCAAAGTTTATTACCGACATTTAATCAATTTTCTACTCGCTAAACATATTTAAATTAAATAAACGGGAAAAAATAATTTCATATTTTTTAATTGGAACTGTTTTGACCGGAAGGAAGTAGCTTACATAAAGTTTGTCTCATTTTGAGTTAAGTTGATATCTTTAAATTGTTTCTTGTAATATTCTAATAACTATTTAATTGACGTGTAAAAAATCATCTTTTACGTTCTGCAATGACATAATCTTGAATTTCACATATTTTGAGTTACAAGACTGTTCTAGTAACAATACGATATATTCTTGTTTATAAATACATATACAATACACCATAAATTCACCATATAGTCATTTGTTACTAATGTAGTATAAGGTTGCTTACTAACAAACTATGGTGTCTAAAAATCAAAGATTTTTATTTTCATTTTTATTTTTTTATTTTATTTTTTATTTATTTTATAAATAGTACTGCTACCTTACCTATTTTTGCCTCCAAGCAGTAATGTGAACGATTCTGTGTTCCGGTCTTGAAGGGTAAGGGTGCTGGTGAAATTACAGCCACGTGAAACTTGTCAACTTACGTCTCAGGGTGACGGGCGCAGTGGTAGTGACCCTCAGATCTTTGCGATTGAAAGCACTAAGTGGCACTGCCATTGTTATGGACAGGCATATAGCTAACCATCAGGCGCACGACTTATTCGTCCCGTCACTTGATATTTTTAAAAAAAGGATAATAAAATATTAGGTATACATAAAAATAATCATATTATACGCAATAAGATCCATTCAGTATTTTTTTAAATTTTCAAATTGTGTTTTCTCAATTCTACAATTTTGAGTAACGACAGTATTTGGTTCCAAGTGCGATATTGTTCTTAAATTATCCATGCTTTCACCAGCAAGTATGTTTTGGAAAAACATTACAGAAATAATTTTTTTTCTTACGCATTCTGTAATGTTTATTTTATCTACGGTACTGCCACGACAGTCACGTAGCGTCGATCGGTGGATCTCGGGCATGTTTGCCGAGTAAACAATCCTAATAGACCACTTCACTTCTT